GGGCACCTATCACTATGTCGGCATATCAAGAAATGAACTCAATGAAACGCGTTATGTCGTGTTATATCACGGACATGCCAGTTTTTAAATAAAGGCTCTCGTAGGGAAGGAGCACCGCGGTGGGCAAGTTTCTTTCTTTTTTTCTTTTTTTTGCAGGAGGTAATCATCCCAGCCACCCAGGCGCTCCTACCCTACCTAGGATTATTTGGGAAACTAAATTTCCTCAGCGGAAACCGCATAAAAGAGCTAAGCTAGTCGATTCCCATCATCCTCTGCGCATCCGATACAGTGCTGATATAACAAGGGCTAACACGTTAGCTGAGTTCATTTCTTGATATACCGACCTTCGGATGGGTGGCCCCCTCCCCCCAACTACATTTTCACCCTATTTCATTCACACCAAATGCTAGGGAAAAAGCCCGTAGATGTCTTCCGTGCACATACTTCTATGTTTATTTCATATTTCGTCGAAGAGGATTGCCAAATGGTCCGATAGCAGAAACCGTTGATATCAATCGGCGTATTATGAAGGCCATTCATGAGAAACTTTTCCTTTCACAGGGTCCCTTGTTTGCCAACGATTTATCTACAACCATAAAAGGTTGAATACTGTTTGCTTTGGTGCAAAGATTGCTCAGATCAAAAGGCACGCCGGTATTTGCTAGATTCTGGAAACGGTCCCAAATGGGGGAGGAATGTTCGAGGGAATTTTCCAATAAAGCACATCACCAAAGTCCTCATGGCCTTCTATAAACTTTTGTATGACATCGGTGCGGTGCAATTCGGTTATTTGAAATTTCATTGGATAACCAACCCTATTGAAGTCTTTCACCGTTTGAGACCTCCCCAAGCAGAGTAAAAAGAGAGGATTCCGAAAGAGAAATAGTGAGAATTACCCACTGATCTCTGCTGGGTCACTGTGGGTCCCATTTAGGTTCAGAAACCTCTGTGGTTCTGAAAAATCGAGGTGGTGCGTCATCGAAAATCGGTGTGACGCTGTGGTTTCCTCCTTCACCGTACTTGAGAGTTCTTCAAGATGTGAACTTCCTTTTACTTGTTGTATAGCCCTCAGATGGCAAAACGAGTAGGAGGAACCTGACCACAATACACCTGCCCTTGTCTATCAACCTTATGCAGTGAAGCTATGTTACATTCTGGAGGTGGTTAGAACACTAGCAAACGATCATTTGGTCCTCAATAGCTTTCGGACTCAGAGTATAACCAACAGGGTAGCACGAGATGTTCCAGCTGCAAATCAGGGAGCAATTTTACCTAATCAGACGAAATAGGCTTTCACAAAGCCAACTTCAAGTTCTTGACGTCCGACAATGATTGCACTTGTCACGGAAATCTGATTACTTTGTCTTTTTCAAAATTCTCTTTTTCTGAACACAACGGTGATGTTGCACTTTTCAATGAACGACGTCAATACAATTGTTCGCTTGGCCTACCAAATGCAAGTTCTTCCTACATACTTGTGAGTGGGCCGGATGACGTCGTCCCACGTCTTGCATGCAATTAACCTTTTTACATAAGAATGTACCCTACAGAATAGAATGGAGGATCTAAAAACGTAGTCTGTTGCATACATAAATGTTTGGTCTTAAACGTGAACCTCTCAAGGGTCGATTTGCAAAAAAAAAATAAAATAAATAAGGAATAAATAGCAATTACTCTATGATTTCAGTTCCCAAAAAAGTATAGAAGTCTTCAATGCTTCATGTGATCTTGCTAGATGGAACAAACATCTTGCCCTGATGAGATCTTGTCGTCAGGAATTTTCGTTCGAATAGACCACGAAGTTTGGACCCAAACCATCCCTTCAATTCAAAGCGATTTCAAAGATTCTTTCCGAGCCTTGGTCTTGGGAGAAGGAAGATGACGACCGTCTAGATAGGGATAGTTTGTAAGGGTGGCACAACAGAATGCAAGAGTTACTCAAAAATCAAATTCAAAAAAAAGTCAAATTTTTCGAATTACTTTCGGGTTTTTGAATTTCTCTCTGTCGATAAAGGTGCGCTTTGCCGTAGGACATGACTACTTGGGTAAGAAGCTCACGAGGGAATTTTAAACATTTCTCTTCTTTATTAAGTGTATTCGGTTTGTTATTTGGAGAAGACGCAAACTTCATGAAAGCACCGGCCACTGAAGGGGCATTCTGGGGATTGGTTAAAGTTTACATAAGGTGAATAGACTCAAAATTCTCGGACTATCCGAAGTGGCAAATGTGTTGAAGCTCGGAGCATTAGCTGCCATATAGAATGATCACTAAAAAACAACTACAGTAATATTGACCTTCAAGTGACAATTTTGGCCTTTTTGTTTTCTTGTCAATCACCGTCGCTGTTATAGAAGCTTCCTGCTTGTCAATTACTGAGTCGTCGTTGAATATATAACAACTAAAAGTAAATTGCCAATCTTGTTCGTCGAGGGGGTTTGCCTTGAGAATTCATAATGAATTGGTTTGATTCGCTCCCGAGTGACAGTTTTATGCTGTTCGTGACCACTTTGAGATAAGAAGCTTCAATCCACCGAAAAGGTCAATCTGGCCCTTCTCTCCCAAGAACAGCACATCTTAGCTTCAGAATTCATTCTGAAGTGGCAAGAATAACCCTTCCAGGAAGGCCTATTGAATATTACAAAGTCCACATCATTTCTGGGTTTCTGTATGAATTTGCGGAGCTTTTGAGGAATCAGTCTGCTTTAAGTATCGAAGGTCCAAAGAGAGAAAGGCGTATTGCGACCTCTTTGGTAGGGCAAGGAGGCACTCACATTCATAGAACATGGTCCCGCAGCCTTGTCCCGGACCTTGCAACAGCGAGTTTGACTTTTGTTCGCCTGCAAAACGTGAGCTTTGCAGGTGGTTGAGGCTTTAATTTGAAAGCCTTTGTTGTGCAATCAAAAGGGCATTCAAATAGGTTTCTTAGGCATAGGAATACACGTTGTTGACGACTGGCAAACCCTTCGGGCGTTATGCTAATTCAATTGGCACAAGGGGTGCTTTGCGAAAATCGTGGCACCTCAGCAAAAAAGCATATGTCGTTAGGAAAATCACCAGAAGTGGGCTGGCTTTTGGCCTTCCAAGCGGGCATAGCTGGCTTAACGGTTCGTGAGCTTCTGCAGAACATAGCTGGCTGTATGGTCTGAGAATATACTTAAAAGGCTTGTGGTCATGAAGCCATCACAGGAAACAGATGCATCTAGCTATATACAATGTCTGCAGAAGCCCCAAGGGTGGGTCTTGGTCTTACTGATTGGTAAACGACTATTGCTCACCTAACTTGAGGTAGGCCACGCACCTGATTGCCATCCTAATTTGTACATTTAAATTTTCATTTCACTGCTTACAAATTAAAATGATCTGGAAATTCAAATGATTTTGAAAGAGGTGTTGAGCTTACAACTTCTCAGTTAGTGACCTCAGCAAGGACTGATCTTCCGTTGGACGAGACCAAAATCATTTGTCAGTGTGCAAATGCAGTTCCTCATGGGAAACGCTCCTACCGGAATTTATGAGTCTAACCGAATTAGTCGCAAATTATAAGTTAGTTCCTTGATGTTGTTGCCATCGGAATTGATTTCTTGACCCTTGACTGACCTTCAATTACAAACTGGTAATGCTAAAAGAAGGGAGACGAGATGCAGTAAGGAAAGCTTCTGTAGATGGTGGGCGAGCATGCTAAATCCAGGTTCACAGACGAGAATTTAAAGGCGAAACGTATAACGAACATCAGCAGATCCCAAGAATCCCATTTAGATTCAGAAAATCGGAAAAAAATGGATGCGCCGGTACTCTCAAAACCAGGTCTCAAGGTCCCTTCTCCAATACCTACTTGGGAAATCTTAGAATGAGCAAGACATCCTCGCTGTCCTGTTGATGACTGGCCAGATTGCTAAACAAAAAGTATATGCTGGTTCATCTCTTCCTAGATACGCCACTGAATCTCTTACTGAAAAAATAGGGGCGTCATGGCTCCTCGAATTCCTTTGAAAAGCTCCTTCCATTGATATTTTCATTTTTTTGGAGCTTTTCAGACCCGCATTAATCACCATCAATCAGTCCCATATTTATAGCTTTTTATGTGTTAAGCTCATTCAGCTCTCTCAGAACAATGACTTCCTTTTCATCGTCCTTTTCAAAAGGCTCGTTGACCAAAAATGTCAATCGCAGATGTCCATCTGTAAGTGACAGCTGCGACGACACGACAGATTGCCGTAAAAAGTGCCAAATCCCCGGGGATTCCCAATCTTCGATATAATTTTGGAAAAAAAGACCAAAATCCGAAATAGCTTGTCAACTAGATGGCCCGTTTTTTCAGGAATTATGGCCGGCTCGAATCGATCCGGAAATCTTCGTGACGCATCTCGTTCAATACCACTAGGAACACTTGCCGCTCAGATATCCACGAGTACAGTTTGTAAGTACAACTTTTTCCTTCTGACTTTTAGCTTCCACATACGATTAGCATTAAAAATGACTACTGCTTACTGTAATGTCGAATGAGGAGCCCATCAACATCGACATTTCAAAAGAGCCGGCTTAAAATGGCGCACACGCGACGGGAGATTAATGATGGGCTGTTGTCCGGCTTTATATGTAAAATGGCCGTGAACTCCACGGCCTATTGCACCAAAAAAAGAGGGTTTGCTCAGTGAAAATAGCCCGCAGGGAGTATTTTCGGGAAAAAATCGTCTCTCGAGTACGAACAACTTGTTTTCCACGACGTTGGATACTTGTAGTGCTAAGTTTTTCCGGGGGAAGCTCATAATTTCGGCATCCTCCCAGTCAGCTACTTCCCCAGGTGGAGTCACTCTCCTGAATCGCGGATGAAGCAATGTTATATTGCCAGCACCTGCTGGAAGCTGTAGTAGTTCTTTGAAGGCTGGTATGGGCTCATAGCCGTTAGCGGTAGGACTACGGACCAAGCATGTTATCGGTCGCTTGTAGGACTTGGTCAAGCCTACGGTGTCTGGATGTGTGTTTGGAATGGGGTTTGGAAGGGTTCGGAGGTGCCACCAGTGAAAGCCTTCTCACATGGTAAGACTTCCAACAGAAAAATTAATGAAATGGCCCAACTGTGTGCGCTCAAAATTAGTTTAGCCATTCAGTCATTTCCTGTTGGAACTTAGAAAATAGTTGAGAGAAAGCCGTTTTCGGAAATTAGGCCATCTGCAAACCTCCTGAGCTTCCGGGGATCTGAAACTGGCTCAGTATTCGTCGAAATCGTAGAAATGGGATTTTTAAAGAGAACAAAGGCACGGAAAAGCCAGTCGAACTGTGAAAAGCTCTACCGAGTTGAAAGGTATAACTGAGCTGACGGAGAGGTAAAGGAGAGGGAGATAGTTGAGTTGTACGTGAGTATAGAAGCTAGACCTCACAAGTCTATTCCTTTGGACTTGATCACTTGCTTTGACTTTGGCTTGTGGTAGGATTTCGACCTACTGAATATGTTTGACGTATATGTAAAAAGCGAAGAAGCCTACAATTTAGTCTGCCATCAGGTCTACGCCCAAAAATTGCTACTAATCGTGAGTAAGGGGATCTTACGCCTTTATAGGGAACTTTTGTAGTCTAAGCAGACAGTAATCGGCAACTCCTTTAACTGCTTCGGCTACCGAGTAAATTGAAGGTTTTTAATGGAGATTCGAGTGAAAGAAGCCTAATTAAGAGTGTCTCTTTTCACGGAATCGTGGCATCCCTCTTGATTAAAGGAATGAGTTAATTCAAGCCTGGTAATCAATCATCTTCGATCTTTGATGTCCAGCTATTCGTGACAAATGATTCTACTTTTGATCGATTACTTTACGCAAAGCTGAAAAGCTGATTAATTTCCCGGACGGGTCTGCGAGAGGGATTACTTGGGTGCACTAAAATGACATTTCCACCAGGAATTCTCTTCATCCTCTTCAAGGGTGCTGCTAAGAAATTGAATTCTTGGCTTGCGAGTCAGTAGGCGTCAAAGATTTCGAAATTGGCCCTGGATACTGTAAAATTTGCATGCATGTTTACTTGTTTATCAGATTCATATGGAAGCAGTGGCGTAACCGTGAGTAGCCACACAACACGGATACCTGATTTGGCAACGGTTATTCATTTAGCAGCAAGGGTGATATAAATAGTGCAGCGGTGAATCCGAAATCAGCTTACTCAGAGACAGCCCACGATAATTTGAGGTATGGTTTGAAATGTGGTGGGGGTGTATCCGGACGAGATTTCAGCCGTTCCAATTGCATAGAAGTCTAGCTACATTAAGCCGAAAATGCTTAAAATGCCTTCTACTGTCGACATAGGTCACGTCTAGATGTTCGAATTCCCAACGTAGCTGCCAATTGCGAGTGATGTAGCCGCTACAGTGCCATTCAAACTCGTCCACTTCTGGGTGTGGCATACAGGCGATACAGTTTTCCCTGCTTACACCCTGGCCGTTTTTCGATCCAACCGCCATACATATCGGGGTACCACAAATTGACCCTAGAGAACTATCTCGGTGACCATGAAAGATCTGAATGAATGGTCATCTTGTACACCACCGCATGGATTTAATAAGGGAAACGCGAACTGGCTTCATTCGCTGGAATCCAGATTAATTTCCTGAAATCATACAACTCGTCCATCAGAAGGGTTTAATCTTTGGTTTTGGTTATTTAGAAGTTATTTGAACTTCCTACATGGGTTCCCTTGTGGACGGTGCAATCTCTACAATGCCGTTGGAACTCGTTCACTACCCACAGTACAATCTTTGAGCCTTTGTAACGCCTTATCTAGGTGCGCCACGTATGGTATATGAGGGAGTTATAAACTTATCCTAGAAGATATCTTGTAAACCATTTTTACCGTAAACTGTGCCCTTAACTAATCAGATGGAGGAGATTGAAGGGTTTCCTGTTTCAGATTTAGTTGGTGTTATGGTATTCGGCGCCTCCGTCTCAGAAATGTTCATTCGTGACAAGTACGGTCAATCGGCTATGAGTAAACTGACCATATCTGAAATCGCATGGCCATTTCCAATCGTCATTTTGGTAAGTTTTTTAAGGAGATACCATAATTTTTTCTTTTTTTTTCAAAATGCTTCGCTCTAACAGTCCATCCACAAAAATTCACAAGCGGACGAGAGCGAACAGCGACATCAATAAGAATTTTAAAGATAACCAGAAATGTATAGTTCGAACTAAGTCGAAATAGGATGACAAATTCGATTGGAGCAATCAGACTGCCTCGGTTTCTTCTGATCAAGAACTCGAATCAATACCCTACTCGTATATTCAGAGATTTTGAACTCAAAACTTTGGGTTCGACTGGAGTCTTACCGAGCATCTATCTTGATACCAGGTCATATACCAGTCGTAGTAGGGATACCGAATAGATGGGTCTTGATATTAATGAAAAAAAAAGTTTAGTTGACTTGAACATAAAAATTTTACCGTATTATTGAACTTTTGATTCGGGGCCCACAAAGAACTTCTGAGTCCCTTGGTGACTTCTGAAAAGGATCGGGTAGTGATCGTCATTGTTACTGTCAATATACCCATGAAGGAACGTAAAGTTCAAACTAGATTAGACCCTGGAAACCGCTACTTTTGCTGGTTTCCGGACCGAAAATGTCATCCATCTAGAACGGCAAAATGGTCGTAGATATCTGCCTTTAGACCTTGTTCATGAGCTCACGGGATGTCCCAGAATTTTCCTAATTCGAAATGTTAAAGGTCAGATGACACTGTCATCGTACATAAGTCATGTGTTCGAGGAAAAAGGGGTAGGGGACTCCTGAAAAATGACATTTTTCGCATTGAGGATTTCCTAGGCTCATTCTTCAACGTCGAAAAGTTTTTCTCAAAAACGATATTTATTGATGCTTAGCTTTTAGTCCCCTGCAAAAAGCTCTCAGCCCTGCTTTCTGAGATCGTGATTTATTACATTCATGTGATGAATGTCAACTGGTCTATCTTACTTTTAACCGAACTTCAAATTAAACCTGAATTCTTCACTTATTTCTCTTTGTTTTCAGTTCGGATGTCTGGGAGCAACGATTGGAGCCGGTATGCAATCGCTTACAGGAGCTCCACGTTTACTACAGGCGATCGCCTTCGGTATGTACAACTAATTTTTCTTCGGGGTCGATTTCCAAAGTACGAGCTGGTTACTCAGAACATGTCTGTCTCTATGTTTACATATATGAACTGCGTTAATTCGGGGATGAGATGGTGTAGTGGCGAGGTGCGCTACCACAAGGTCCGGGTATCGAATCCCACAACAATACTCACCATACTCGTCCCACAAAGTCGTTTTTTGGCGGTTCATCTGTGCCAAAAAAACTGTGTCTTTAATGTTTTTACGCCAATATGTCCTACGGTAAGGACGTGATCCGCTGCACAACAGCCCACCAATATTTAAGTATTTAAAATTGGCTGAGTGACATTGTACAATCACATGTTTCTTTACATAACCTCTACTGCCCTCATAAATCAATCCAATGAGCCATTTATACTTTTGAACCCGGGAAACTTTATGAGATTGGTGCTTCGAAGACTGATTGTTGTCTGGGTCGGGATTACCTGTGCCTGAGTATATATCACTGGATCTTTAGTTCTTGCGAAAAAGCTTCACAGTCAGGATTACCAAAAAAGAATTTCCTTGGAGGGGATTGAACTTCCGAATCTACTTTCTGAATAAATCACAAATAATGTTGCTGGAAAAACGAAAGGATCTAGCCTAAATCGACATTTTCAATGCTCATCTGCAACCCGTGTTTATAAGGTTATTTAGATGCTCGTTTAGGTTTTTTATATTTATCATTCGTTTAGTTAAGAGTTATTAATACATGTACAAATGTGAATGAGAGAATGATCTCTTAGTGAATCTTATTCAACTTGGATGGGCTCCAAGACAGAGGAGCCTGGCTGTCGTAGGCAGGAATCCTTGGAGGCTAAGGCGACGCGTTGTACTACTACTTCATTATTACCTCCAAAGACTAGACTTACATACATTCATACTTCCTGAGGGACTTGTAGATAGCATTTAGGCGACTCGGCTTTCCCTCATTCTTAGTTTGAGCTTGGTCTCATTGTGTTTAGGCTTCAGCCTTTCCAAGTTCCAAAGTTAACTGAGNTCAAGGTCGGTATATGGTTATACAGGCAGAGGTGAGCAATCGATCCTACCATGGGGGCTTCAGGCGGTAAGGTACCCACTTATCGGTCTAACTCAGAGTTCCGCTTCTTTAGTTTTCCATGTTGTTGTTTATTTTGACTTAAACCAATATTTAATCAACTAGTCAGCGAGTTACCGCCAATCATAAACTTAAACAAACCAGTATTGCATGACGGACGTATTTCATCATGCGTGATGTTTACATCGCCTTTTTCTGATTCAAAATGGCCATATATTTCATGAATAATTCAAAGGCTTCAATCGTAAAATACGATGAAAAACATCATTTTATGGCATGAAAAGGCCTTCAACGACAAGGGAAATGGGAAGAAAATCATGTCCGCTCGTCACTCTATAGAAAGGTATACGGTAGTGGCATGTCCCACTTAAAATCCAAATTCAGTTACGCGGACGAGTGACTGGTGATGTCACATTGTGTTCCAGTCCAAGCTGATTCGCGACCGATTAGTGGAGGGTTTTGGAGAATTCTGGACAGAAATCGGAAAAGGGGTGTTAGGGAGGCTCCAAGACAATTGCTTACCTAACAGTAGGCATAACATAACAGTCGATCATCTACAGAAAGCCTGTGACAAGTTTTTTCTTTCCGTTTGCCCCCAGTTCTGGCACAATTGCCCTTTTGTTAATGAGTCCGAAGCTCCAAAAGATCTCATTAACTTTTTCCATGAACGTCGACTTAGGTAGTTGCTTCGACAACAATTTCCGTTCTGTGAAAATTGAAACTTTTCATTTGCTAGCCCTTGCAAGTCTACCATTATGCTCTTCGACCACAGTTGCTCTTGGAAGAGTATGCAACAGCATAAAACCGAAACTTCTAGAAGTTCGCAAAACCCGAGCCAATCCACTTACCTTTCCGGACAGCCCAGTACGATGATCCTGGGGCAGTTTTTTCTAGGCGTGCTTAACCTGAAATTAAGGACCATGTCCTACTAGGTCTACAGAAGCGATGCTGTATCTTTAGGTGATACAATAAATCGCTAGCTAAGCTGTTATAGCTGCTATGTAGGGTATTTTGAAAATGGAGATGGTGTAGTAGCGAGTGGCGCAATATCGCGAACGCATGGATGGAGAATCAAATCTCCGATCGGTAGCCTCCCAGTCCAACCCAGCCTACCACCGTTAGAGTCAAAAAATCATTATAAGGCTGAAGCACTGATTTGCACGTAGGCTGGTCACCGTATTTCATTGTAGGGCCATTCGCATTCGATACGGCACAACGATTTTGAATGTAAGTCGAATGCATCCTGAAATGGGAATGGTAATTACCCAAAAGAGTTCATCTTTCCAAAGAGCTTGAGGTATATTGAAAGATCTATACGGATGACTGAAATGGTGTTCTCAAGAAAAATGCCGAACAACTACACTGAGGGGAGAATACTTGAATGGAAGGCATAGAAAAGAGAAATAGCATACAAATCCTATTACATCGTTTCATAGTGCCTCTTCAGGAGTACCATTGGGATGAGATTCATTTTCAGATGACGTAATACCGTTCCTGAAGCCATTCCGGAAAATGGACAGCCGTGGTGAACCGATTCGAGCCATTTTCATTACAATTCTGATTTGTTGGATGGGGATTCTTATCGCTGTCATCGAAAACATCACAGCACTCATTACACAGTCAGTTCAAATACTATTTTTTCCTATTTTTTGTGGTGAGGGAGGCTACTCACAGCGATAGGAGAATAGTTTTACCCGAGAAAGCAATATTGGCACATCCTCAATTCCAAAAGATATTTGGGGAAAAAGAATGCTGATTAACACAGTAACTCTGGGTTGCACCACAATTGAGACCAATTTCCGCAACTGTGACTTTTCATTACATTGTAAACATTCAATAAACACTCAACCTTGGATCATTTCCTTCGTTCCTAATGAATCGAGGGTTTTTCTGGACTTCGGCGAGTTCGGTTGTGTTTACAGTTACCCGAAAAATAATAGTAAACATGCTGTTCCCATTGGTTGCCTATTTACGAGGGTTAAATAGCATTGTTTATTTCTTGAAAGGCACATCCAACTTTATGTTTGGAAGCTTTTCAGATTCTTCCTGATGTGCTATCTCGGCGTTAACACCGCTTGCGCTTTGCAGTCTCTACTCAAATCGCCCGGTTGGAGGCCATCATTCCGATATTTCCATTGGTAAGTGATCGCTATAGGCCTGAAATATTGTTTCCATCAAGTTCCAATGTTCCTTGAAATAGTTCCCTCACATTTCCTCCTCAAAACTCCTCTACCGTTTGATTTTCCAACTCTTTCGTCCTTTGGAAAACTTCTAATAATTATAAAAATTGTTTCGAGGAGAGGGTAAGATCTCCTCCCAAAACCCCTTCAGTTTTGTAAATCATTAAATCCATTCAACTATTCTTACGAATCAGAGGCAGGTTCAAGAACATCCCAAAAAGTTCGTTACAAGCGCATTGTTGTAGAGAATAAACGAAACGTTGAAACATGCAATTTATAGAGAAATTAGGAACATCTAAGTCATCCCCACTTATCATATCTCACCATTAAATCCAACTGCCATCAATCAATAATTCCGATCGATAACCGATTTTCAGGTCACTGTCGATGCTGGGTGCATTCCTGTGTGTGGCGGTGATGTTCATCTCAGCTTGGCATTTTGCCCTTGTTGCCATCTTCATCGGTGCCGCTGTATACAAGTATATCGAATACGCTGGAGCCGAAAAAGAATGGGGAGACGGTATTCGTGGTCTCGGCCTTAGCGCTGCCAGGTACACAGTCGTTTTGGAAGCTCCTGGGAACTGATTTGAAGCTCGGTTTTTGAAGGTTCGCTCTGCTCAACGTTGAGAACAAGCCCCAACATAGTCGTAACTGGCGGCCACAATTACTTGTTCTTCTCGAAAATACTGACTCACCGAACACTCACGGAATGCTATCATTTGTTAGTCAATTGAAAGCTGGAAAGGTAAGTAGTAATAGATATTTTGAAGGTCCACTTTGTACAATAACGTATGGTTTAATGGGTCGATAACCTCCGCTGGTAACCACCCTTTCTTCCAAAAACGTATAGATTATGCAGAGCGTAAAAAAGAGGCATACTGCCTGGAATCAAGGAAGTCATAACCTTCTGAGTAGGGGGTCCTCTTCTGAATTCGTCCCTTTTCACCTGTTCGATACCTAGAACATCTGTGGCGACCGTCCCAGATAAATGACCGCATCTCAACCGCTCGCATGTGTAACACTTTCTTTTTCCTCCTTCTACAGAGCTGAAACACAATCTAAGTTTCACCCTGTCTTAGGTTTTAGCGTCTCCCTTTTGAGGTCAAGATACGCTCTTTATTTTACATTTTCTTGAAAGTTATGGTATGGTTCTAGACCCGTATCTCCCCTACTTTCAATTTTTGTTTCCGGCAACCATTACAAAACAGCTATCAAAAAAAAAAAAGCTCATTTTTGTAGGGCCTGACACTGGTCGCTATGTGTAGGGAAGGTAAATTCGCAAGCGATGCCGAAGATGCTGCAGCTCAACAAAGGGTACAGTTTGTTTTCGCCACTTGCGAATGTCTACATCCTAAATGCTATCACATCTATTTCAGAATCTCGATTGCTTAATGAAGAAATACAAAATCAAAGGATTTGGTGACATACTGGTGACGGAACATATCATGGAAGGAGTCAGCTGCCTTGTTCAGGTGTGTTTCTCAGGTATTTTACGGGGAGATCAGCTTTCTACCACTTTGCCCTGCATGGGAAGTGACTATGCAATTGCATATAATGTCAGCTACATTGTGCAAACAGAAAATTGCTTTCTACCGAGGTATTATCGAAAATTTGTCATCCCTGTTAGATTTTCCTTTGAACTTCGAATCCTGTCAATCTAACAGGTGCAGGTCCAATGTTCCAAATACTTGCCAATCGACACTTGAGATTTTTCGTTGAGAGAATAGGCATCGACTTCATAGCTGAGATGGGAGGAAACCACCGAATAAATGTGGTGCTAAACCTGCTTTTCTAGTGGTAATGTAATTCCAGTTTTTTCAAAGCAATCATGTCTGTGAACGGCAGACGTGATTAAGCTATGACGCACTTCGATGGATAAATTATTCACTCCAATGTAAATTGATGTGGATCGGTTACGAGAGAAGGGCCCGCGTGTTTGATGTTTGATCGGTATAATTAAGTCAATTGGTAACTACAAATTTTTTGATTGGAAAAGGAATATAGTGGACAGAGGAGTAAAAGGGGTGCATGTAGTCGTTAACACGCGGTTGATCCACGGATTGAATAAGGCACTGGGTAAAGGCCCTGTTACATCCTCCAGATATCGGTTTGTAAGCTGTAAATTAGTTTTGATAGGCTGAAACACTACTTGAAACACGCCATGTTGAGTATGTAATCAGTTACCACTACCAAATATCATAGTAATAGATCCCAGATAGAGGTTGATAGCGGGGCGCAGTCTGGGGAATTTACCCTGACTTAATTTTTGTACTTTTCCATGCCTATTGCTTGCAACTTGTGTTAGTGATGAAAAACAGAATTCAAGTATTACTGGTTAGTCTCCTAATAACTCATCATTTCAGACGTCTGGTTTGGGAGCGCTTAGGCATAATACGGTTGTGATCTCATGGCCGGAACAATGGATTACAGAACACTCATGGGATGTTGGCCATCGGTTCGTCTCAGCCCTACGGGCTTGCTCTGCGGCAAAGTGAGTCAGTCTACCGGTTTTCATTTAATCGGCTGCCCCTTCAGTTATCACATTTGGCCATCGAATCCATTCCACAGAAAAAACGTCCAACGTTTCAGATTATTTCGTTTAGGTGCGCAATCCTTGTACCGAAAAATGTTGAAAGATTCCCACCTTCAAACACGAAAGTATCCGGGAATCTGGATGTCTGGTGAGTCCATTGATATCGTACGAGGTCCCTGAATAGGTGCATAACGCGCTGTTCAGGTGGGTGGTGCATGACGGTGGATTGTTGATGTTGCTACCGTTTTTGCTACGGCAACACAAAACATGGAAGAATGCCGTAATCAGATTGTTCGCCATTGCTCAGTTGGAGGTGAGTCTGAGCTCAAAATGGTCTTCTCGTAACGGGTGCTGATGGCAAAGGTGCGGGACCATAGTCCAAAACTCTAAGAAGCTCATTTCAGGACAACAATGTACAAATGAAATCAGACCTCGAAAAGTTCCTCTACCATCTTCGTATCGAAGCCGAGGTCTTTGTTATCGAAATGGTAAGTATTGCAATCCCATGTGCTGGACTTTTTACAGTATCCAGAGAACTGAATGATTTTAGCCCGATTCGGACATTTCTGACTACACCTATGAACGAACATTGAAAATGGAAGAACGAACAAAGCTGTTGAGGAGTCTGAATAAAGCCGATCGCGAGAAAGACCTTCAAACGCATATCGAAGAAGTTGTGAGAGAGAGGAAGCTCAGCAAAATTAACGAGGAAGAAGCGGTGAGCACTGACTCTTGTACGAGCCCTTGCAAGGTACTTGCGGCTAAAATACGGCGATGCAAAAACCCGATAATGTTGAATGTTGGTGAGGGATCATCACAAGAAGTGCATTTCTAGCGGTGGTGGTCTCGCTGTGAAAATCTTTGTTTCATCCGCTGAAATGCCAATGCTATGCTCAAATTGCAAGATTTTTTGACCTTTGTTTTTGTCATGATCATGGATGGGCGGAGATTGGTAGAGGGGCGGGACCCTTCCATATTCGAACAATTCTTGGCAATGGAACTCGAACAAATCTAGGGAAAGAAATTTGATTCTGAAAAATCATAGTTTTCCAGCTTGAGATATCACGTTCCATTAATTTCTTGATCACCTTCGAATAATTTTTTGAAAATGGTACCCGCCTTACTTCCTCCGAAAGGCCCTTTTGAGAAAAATCTTTTGCGTTTTTCACATAAGTGGTGCTTAAGTCAGGTTTCATCGATTTTCAGATGCAGAACGCAGCTCTTGAAAAGACGTTAGAAATAGTTCCTGAAGACAACCAGGATACAGAATCGAAAAAGATTGAAGGAAAAGGTGTACGATTCAGTGATAGCAACTCCGTGGAGGAGGTAAATTTCAAGCCATCTTCTTCCTCCTCCTTCTTTTCCCTCACTTCCTCCCTGATCAAATCCCATCCCGCTTCCAGTATTCCGTCGAATTTTCGGTGTTTCAGAATCACAAACCTGGAAACGGTACTTTGGAACGTGACAACGAGGAAAGACGGCGAAGGAGGCGCTACAATGTGCACAAGATGCACACTGCAGTGAAATTGAATGAGCTGATGAGGGAGAAGTCGGGTGATTGCCAGCTGCTTATCGTCAACCTGCCCGGACCTCCCGATCAGGACTCAGATATATACTGTAAGTACCAATGAGTCAGTTTATACTCGGAGCTACCATAATTGACGTTTTTCAGATATGGAATTTATCGAGGCTTTGACCGAGAGCCTGAATCGGGTATTACTAGTGCGTGGTACAGGAGCCGAAGTAGTTACCATCTATTCTTAGTCTCTCGTCAATTGGTCAATACTCTCTGTACTGCTTGATCATTTCCGTTCTCATTTTTCCTCTCCCTCTCCCTTTCCCTCTCTCCCTTCCCATCTCTATGATTGATTTTCTCATCGCCCATATGCACTGCGGGTACTTACGTCGTCTAAGCGCCACACTTTCATACGAGCACATCCAATTTTCTGTCGTCGTCATCGTCGACGACGACGTCCGCACGGGTGAGCATGCGGACGTCGTCCGGATCGCCCATTCCTTCCTGGCTCATCAGATTGCCATGTAGAATTCCTCAAGTAACGGAATCGCAGCTATCGTGTCACATATATGGATGCCAAAGCTCCCCTTCTGATTTCTACCGGTATCCGCATATCTAGCTTTGATTAATTTGATTTTAGCCCTAGCTAGCTAGTGCAATTCAAGCCAGTCATCGTCATCATCATCACTATCATTATCATTATCATCACCATAATCATCACATGACATCAAGGATCTAATACTTCACCAGCTACAGTTGTTATTGTTGATGAATTGATTGATATTGATTGAACATGAAAGTATTGCAACCCACTATTCGCTCCCATAGCAACGTATACTCTATGTATGTGCTATCTTTTTTTGGTTGAATGTGTGTCAATGTCTATGTGTACATTACTCTTTCCACGAACTTAGTTGAACTGGTGGCATTTCGGTGATTTTATGCAAGTCGGAGTTGAATAGAATCTACTTAATATGTTCGTTGTTCGTTACAGTTACAGTATGCAAAATTCTTATAAACGTTGTATATATCCAGTGGTTTTTGTTCAAGATGAAGATATGAAAAAGAGATATTAGAGTGAGGATGCAGACACAATGATCATAGGGCTTGGCCGACATGAAAGTTATCTAGTTCGAGGCAAACACTGGAGGTGAAAGTTCAGAATAGTGCAAAGGTAACGAAGAAAACGCGAGAGCTGGCGTAGAATAGAAATTCAATGCCTCAACAAAGAAGTAAAATCAAGGATTGGACGAGAATATTACGACAAAAGTGCATTGAAGGGGTATTTGAATGAGCTGTTCAAGTGCGCGCGCCACTGCATACAGGTGGCTACAGTACGCGGCCTGCACGCAAGGTATGGGTCCCGGTGCGAATGATGCAACCTCTACAGCCTCTAAAACGCTTGATGACACGTCGCTTGGGCTAGTTTTGGGATGTGTTCATCGATTAGGTCGGACGTATCTTGACTGTTTTGCTCAAGCCAGTTACTTAAACGTTACCACCATTCCGTGAGTACATCCCAAAACGAGACTGATCAACGTCAACGACTCCCTCAAATGATCAAGTCTCGAAGCCTTTTCTCGCTAACCAGGACTGTTTCTAATATGCGTCTCCCATCTGTTTTACGTTCAGAATCGCATTTTTGAGTGCGTATTTGGTTCAATTACAAATCAATGCTTCTTCCTCCCAGACGAATCCTGCACCCGTAAACCGCCCCTGTAAGAGTGAAAGGCCTGCTTGGTATAGGCGGCCATCAATCGACTATGAGAATCGCTCCATGCGTGGGTAGTGTGCGCTGCTACAGCGCCTCTTTTATGTGTAAGAGTCAGTAATAACAGCGCTTTATCATTTCTGTTCAAATTGCATGTCTACTCATCTCGAAGTTAGCTTTACTTTTGCCTTTTCGCCTTTACAAATTGCATTTTACAAAAAAATTGTGCCAAACACTCAAAGCATCGACGCGACATGCACTGCTCACCACAGGGCAGAGTAAAAAAATTACAGATCAGAAAAGAACAAGCTCATTTTTGGTGGTTCTGTCACAAAGTCATTGTAGGTTCATTTCTGGTTGATCAGTTGTGGCGCTCGTAGTCCGATTTCCGCCATGCTCCCCTGGAAAAAGTGATCATAGGGTATGTACATTCCAACATGATTTAAGATTTTAACAGATTACCCAGGCATGAAGTTCTATAAATGAATCACTAGCTAGAATTAATCCCTTCAAAATTCGAGGAAAGTCCTCAAGTGGGAGGGGTTGCAAATGATTCCAATTTACAGGAGACGACGACATTAGGCAAAGAAAGACCAAAAGAACTCTTTACGGTTGGAAACTAATAAGAAGTCCCCTGCTTCACTATGTTCCCATGAAGGATTGGCAGCAGATCAGAGGTCCTGCCACTATATAACCAGCTTAATGATTGAAGACATGAAGAAAAAGGCCATATCTCTTGATCGGGGAGAGCGACAGCTGGTCATTCAAGTTTGGTCACAACACTGAAGCCCAGCCTTTTTCTGTGGCCCACTACATACAGCTAGTGTTCAAATGACTGTTTGTCTGAGATGAGAAAAAGTGTGGCTTATCACCCACTAGGGGGAACTTAGTGATAGCACGTAGGTAAGGAACCGGAGCCGTTTTCAAATTACGAACTGAAATATAGCTTCGATATCGGAAGAAAAGAAATAGCAAAGAACTTATACTGGTAATCGCTTCCAGAAGACTGATAACTACTTTCACATTTTTTGCACAGAATCGGACTTTAGTCTCGAATTCGCGTTAATTCGCGCGGCGAGTCTTTGATAGTAGTCTTGGGGCGTCAAATTGCTAGGATGTTCAATGGCATTAAGCTCCGCCTCCCACGGATCGATAAGGCGCCAATTTTCAATACTGATTTGCCCATTGGTTGCACCAAACACCCATCACCCTTCATTCAATTCCCTCGACAAAGGTGGCAAGGGCGGCTTCCCGTCTGAGTCTAAATGTTACATCTCGCACTCCCACCTAGGAGGTCGATTTCAAACGATCCATCTGCAACTCGGATCTTTTTTCATTTTATGCCATTCTATCAAAATTATTAACCACTAGGAAGGCAACTTACATTATACACTCTAGCTTTGATTTTTACCGTCTCAAGAACCAAAGCTAGTAGTGCCGCTTGAACTCCAGTATTACAAGCTGTTATCACAGGCAATGCAGCCCTGTAGCCAGCCCTCTTGAGTGCTGAAATAAATTGACATTTCAGAAGTAGTGTAATATAGTGGATTGTTTGGAAACTATCCGTCGACTATTTCGCAGAAGTCTAGTATTTACTGAAATGTCTGTAACTTCCCCTAGAACAGTTAAATGGTAAGGGATCTTATTAACCATCCAGCTCCCTACTTTACCTTATTTACTTACGCCACCTACTTAGTGCTGAGTATGGGGAGACAGTTCGGTCACCATAGGACTTATTTAATCCTGTATAATCCGGACTGCCTCCCATATTCAACACCTACTACTTTACGGGATCGAATCCGGCCACTCCGCTGCCGAAACCCATTGCAACTTGTGGCCAGCACTTCTTTCAAAGCCCTTTTCAAGCTGTTTCACCTCCTACCAACACACCTCCTACCAACGCTTCGAAGCCCTAACGTGAAGGTCGAAAATGAACCCAAAATCTGGTCAAACGACATTGATAATGTGGAATTTCCTGAAATGCTACGCCGATACAAATAAGTAACAACTCAATGGAAATTTTCGGAACATTCTAGAACAAATATGGACTTTTGTGAAATTTCCGGCAGATGCTTTCCAAACATTCTTATACCAGTCCGTGCAGTAGATTTTCAAATTTCCTAACTTAGGTCATCAAGAAACTCGCCATGTGATATTTCTTCCTTTGTCTTCAATCCGTTTTGAGATATCACGTTGACTAAAGGCACATTCTTGGCGCCTTTCAGATGGGCTCCGGTCGCGCCTGAAGCATTTCCACTTTACTGATGTCCTTCGCACAAGGATATTAATTAACTAATTGGTAGTGTTATGGCCGATTTGGATCGATAGGGAAGAATTATTACTTTTCGGAGTCGGAGACTCCTTCAAACCTTGTATTGAAGGAGCAGTTCACGATAATTCTGTGGTGTCTAGTTCAAGACGAATAATGGAAGTGTTAATATAGTTAAACGTGGCGAAGAGAAAGGAAACAGAAGGATTTAAAAAAGTAAGATCGGGGATTGGAAGAGGTTGTGATGGCAAAAGTTGCATAGAAGGGTTATTTGGACGAGCTCTTCAAATGTGTGTGAAATTGCGTATAGAAGGCTACAGTAAGCCAACTGCGTGCAAGGTGTATGTCCCGCGCCAAGGGTGTAACCCCTGCACCCTCTACAACGCCGTGAGAACTCGTCTATTCTGGGTGTATACGTCGGCTAGGCCTGTCTTGACGCCCTCAGTTCGCCTTGTCTAAGGCGGAGTTGGTGTATTGGCAAGTGGCGCACTATACCACACGCATGATCGCGGTTCGAACTCAGGATCAATATCTGCTTAATTCAACTAAGCAGTCCACCACTAAGGAGTCATTCAGTTGATACTAGACTAGTTTGGGAAGATAAAAGCACTGGTTTGTACATCGGCTGGCCTCGCCCTATCTAGGCCATTTTTCGTCCCAACAGTGCCCTCGTGCCATCACTAGGGGTCACGGCTCATCCCAGATAGAAAGAAACCAATTCTATCGTGAACTGTGCCTTTCATTTACAACCAGCCCGTCCCAATGTCTGCCTGCAAATAGAATTCACAAGCAAGCGAAAGGGCAGTGTTTGACACAAGAATTCTCACTTAACCTGGAGCTGGGACTTCCAGTGGTTCAGTGCCATGAAATTGTCCTGATGGCCGAGCGTCAAGGTAATTGATCTAGAATCGGAAACGGTGAAAAACCATGAAAAATGAGTAAAAGTGGAAATGAATACAAAAAAAACTATTGCAGAAAAAACTTTTTTTGCTGATGATCGGCTACCATCTCAAACTAGAGCAGGCCGTTCAGCACTTTTTGTTGCAGTTTTACAAAAAAAAGTGCTTAACGGCCTGTTCTAGTTTGAGATGGTGGCTGATCATCAACGGACGAGGACTTGAGTGCAAATACCGCCAATCAAGGAAACTCGGGTGCTTTAATTGCAATCAGGTGAAGCCCGCTTCGGTGTGATTTTCGACGTCGTAGCTGCTGAAGGAGGGATGCTATCGAAGCGTATTTCTGAGGAATCGGCGATCCTGCGAAGGATGAGAGGGCAGGGTAGTAAACAGGTGAAGAATAATACAGTATCGTGCGAATGCAAAGCCAAAGTCATGAAGAAAGTACAAAGACAACGAGGAAAGTGACAGAAGACGATTTGGTTTGATTTGAACGTCCCGTGAACGTGTGATACGGTAACCCCCCAGAGCCCGACCACGCCAGAGAAAAAGAAGGTTCTAACTGCCAGCAACTTCTTGACTCTGAAAGTTGCTCCGGGAAAAGTTCAAATCCCCTCTAGTTGTTACCTCAAAGACGTTTTGTTCATAACACTTTTGAGATAGTATGTGCTAAGTATCTTTGGCCATAGCCTGACTTCTTCAAAAAGGAACCTGATGGATACGCCTTTTCAGAGAAAGGACAAAGGCAAAGGACGTTCTCCAGAACAGTTCTGGACAGAATATAGTATTTAGATCCTTCGTTTGGGATCAAAAAGCTGCGTTTAGGGAAGCTCCTTGATATCTTCAAAGATAAGCAAATCCGGCCGACTACCGTGTTCAGTTCATCGAATAGCGATTTGCCATTTCTGTTCTTCTTATCCAGTTCCTCGAAAGTTACAAGGTACGAGTCGTCAAGTGGCTTTGCAGTGAAATTGCCAGGCTGAATATATGAATATTAGAAATTCAGATAAAAAAACTGCTCAGTCAAAACACATTCGAGACGTGGGTAGATGTGATCCACAAGGCTTCAGCGCACTTCAATTGGCGAATCGTTCCTCCTTGATAAGGAAGCAACAATAAGTATTCCTTGTTGCCTTCGGGACTACACCCACATGTTCAGCTCAGTCCAATGCTTAGAAGATCTTACTCTTCTTTGAACCACTTGATTAGTGACAGGATAACCAGCTTTCTTCCATGCATCGAGACCACCGTCAAGTACGGAAACCTTGCCATGACCGTACACCTGAAGAAGCAACACCTAGTGGAGTATGGGGAAATGCTCTCAGTGATAAATTTCAGTTTTCTAGGCTACTGGGAGACAGAGAAAACAACGATAACAGCTTTTTAACTTGCCTTCAATGCCCACCATGCTTTGGCTGGCCACATCATGCCGGCAAAAGGGCCTCTACCATAAACAATAACATGGTCATCATTGTTCACACCAAGCAGGCGCATGTACCTTTCAAATACTTCGGGTGGATAGAGATCGAAGCGAATGTATCTGAAGAAAATTTATGAGGTTTTGGGAATGTTCTGCTGCCGACAGAAAAAGAAAAGATTAGCCTACGGGGGTCTGGTAAAAATTTGATCCCTAGACTGATTTGGTGATGGGGTACCTTTTGTATTTACCCCTTTACTGAGCTAATCGCTTAGGAACTCAGAAAGTCATGGAGAAAAAAGCAGTCATTAGAATGAACTTTTTTAGTAGATCCATATACAAACTAGAACAAATCGTAGTCATTCAGAGTTTCTCCAAGAGATTGTAAACTTACTTCGAAGGATAGAAAGCAGCATCAATGTTGAATAGTATGGCTCCAGGAATGTGCTCTTCAACATAGGCTCTTGGCTGAATAAAATTGATTGAACTTATTTAAATACCCGACTTTTGGTCAGCATCAAGCGTTTAATAGCTGAATCAGAGTGATGGAGTGAAGGTGTGATCTGGCTCTACAGGCTAGGGGCATCATACTCGAAGGCATCTATGTGCGATTTTTGATAACTGCAACTCATTGCAGCGGTCAACGTCTGTAGCAGTAGCGAAAGAAATTCTGCTTAAATAATACAAATCATAAAAAAGTCATTTAGTAATTATAGTTAAGTTGGGGAGGAAAATCTCCAGTAAAAATTTGAAGTGCTACTAATTTTGCGTGAGATTCATACCATCCTCTGCTAAGCACGCCAAGGGGAAAACAGTAGTTTGGCAGCTGATCAGCGACCTACATAAAGCTCAAAGTGCAAAGTTCTTGACGATACTCCTATTTCGAAACCTGATCGGCCGTGTGAGGTAGTGCGCCACATGCCACTGCACCATCTCCGCCCTAGCCACTATGAGTTGCAAAGCGCATTCTAGGTAGTCCCCTGAATCCACCTGCGCCTCAGAGCAAGAACAAGTGACTTCTGATCCACCATTCACTTCCCTATCCGGCAGATGG